TTTTAATAGGGTAGTTAGAGAAGTCATCATTGAAAAGGTGACACTTGAACCAAAGGAGGTGAGGAGTGATCCATGTGCACATCCGGAAGAGTGTTTCAGTCAGAGGGAAGGGCAAGTTGCAAAGGCCAGAGACAGGAGAATCCCTGGCAGGTCTGAGGAACTGTACGGAGGTTATTGACACTAGAACTGGACAGTCCAATATGGGAGACACTTGCCACATGGGGGTTCCAGGGGGCTATTTACCGAGCCCCTGAAATGTTCCTAGTTCAAATTGCATAATTATTTTAGACTGAGGAATTGTGTTAACGGCCCTAGTTCCTCCCTGCTCTTGGTAACCATTCCCTTTGCAAGGAGACTTTATAGCTCGTCCTAGGAAGAGGTGGAGACTTTTTCTGCTCCTTGACTCTGACTTTGCCAGGTTAGAAATATGCTAGAACTCAGCCTAAACCACTGCCCCTCAGGCTCAAGAACTAAATAAACACTTATTATCTTAAGCTACTGAGTCTTGGGGTGGTTTATTTGATGACCATTCTGAGAGGCTGCCTTCCTTTTCTTGGATACCACTGATTTTCTGATTTGATCTTTGGAAACTATTACATGGCTATAAAAGATTAAGTGTTAGTATTTGGAACATTATTTCTCCTGGGTTAAGTTCCAAGTATTTGATTTAACTTCTCTAAGAGCTGCAGAATGGCTTGTTTTCTAATGTAGTGGATATGGGACCAGAACTGGGATAATCTTGTGCGTTCTATGAACTTAAAAAGCAGAACACCGGTGGTGTTGGACTAATTCAATTTCTGATTTGAAGAAACTACACTGACTTCAGTGGAAGATCACCTCAGCCACAACTACTGAAGGAACCCTGACTCTGCTCAGGTTTGGCAGTCTGATCCCTCTGCTTGAGGCTGAGCAGAATAAGAAATTGGGAGGAATGATCTGTGGAGTTTTAAGTAGAAAAATTTTGATGTCGAGATCTTTGAATTTAAACCTATAGGGTAAGGTTATTTAAACTTTGGATTTTAATTTATCCTCAGCAATTTGATAATGGGAGGTGTATTTTAAAATCTGAAGTATTACTCTACTGATAATTTGATTTGTATAATCTCTGGTCAGCTATATTAAAATGGTTTTCATTAGAGAAAGGAAAAGACTCAGAAATGAGTATTTGACCTGGGGACCACCAGGCTTAGAGGTTAATCTCATGTACTGTTCTGATCTATTCTACAGATTTTAATGGGGCAAAACTAAACTGGTGAAACATTAGAAGCTTTCCTATAAAAAACACAAGGATGCTAGCTAGCATTGGACTAGAGACCTTAGGCATTGAAATTCAATAAGAAAAAATAAATGAGTTATACAAAACTATCATTTGAGACAATATGTTTATAGTTTATGAAATCCTAGAAAATCATCTTTAAAAAATAACTATTAGAACTATCTTGAGGTGGTGTTTCACAAATGTATACATGTATCAAATCTCATTAAATTATATATTTAATATATGAGCATTTAACTTATGTAGATCTTTCAGTTAAAAACCATTAGAACTGGTAAGAGAGATCAGTGAAATGACTGGATTAAAAATGAACATGAAATAAATCAATAGCTCTGGAAAAAATTCTATTCACAACAGCAACTGAACTGTCTTGAGATAAACATAAAAGCAGCATGTAAGAACTACATGAAAAAACCTGTGAAATTTCATTAAAGGGCAAAAAAGAAGACCTGAATAAATGAGTTCTACTATGTTCATATAGGAGAGATTCAGGGTTAAGAAAAGTTAATTCTATCCAAATTAATCTGTATATTCAACATGATCCCAATTAGAATCCCAAGGTTTTCCTCTTTCACGGATATTAAAAGTGCATGTTTCTTTCTGCCTCTTTTCCATATGTGGGCATCCTTGCCCTGTAGTTATTCCAGATGAATTGCAGAGCCAGCCATTTAACTCCAGTGGGCCTGATCTTTAGTGAATCCACTTCCCTCTTTACAAGCTGACCTAAATAGGACTAGACAAACCTAGTCCCAAGCATTCTTGGGTACAGTATATCTGTAACTTGATCTAGCCAGTCTTAAGAAAGAAATCTTTAAAGTTGGAGGGAATATCTGTCTGGATCAAAACTGACTGGGGAGGGATTGAGTCAGAATCTCCTCTTTTGATCTCCTATGTAATGAAGAAAGCAGTCCCCCACCACCCACATCATGCCGATAAAACTGCTTGTCTCAGTGGAAAAGCCACTTATTTCCAATGCACGTGCACCTTCAAAAAGTGTAAGAAAGACGGTCAACACTGCTTGTGACCAAGCTTGTGACCAAGTAGATACATCATAACATTACTTGGACCCTGTAAAAAGACCACTATACGATCAAGATTTGACCATTTTTTGCTGCAGTATTAGTAGGGGAAAAATCCGTAGATATTTATTCATCAGAGACAGAATTTATAAGAAGCTAGAAAACCTGGTCCAAAACTTTAAATTATAATGATAAATATTTCGGTTTGGCTAGGATTAGGGCATTGTTCGAGTTTTCCATACATTTTATCTTAGTATTTTAAACTTCACTAGATTAAAGAAAAGTAAAAATAATATGCTTTTTGTAATATTTTAAATAGTAGAAAGATCCATAAAGAAAGATGAACAACACCTCCCTCCATCCCTAATGCCACCCTTTTTAGGGTCCAAACCAATGACAAAAGTTTAGTGTGTGTCTTTCCACTTCCTTCTCTGCATTCACACCAACATGTATAAAGACACACAGATCACGAAGAATAGTTTAAATTTGTGCTGTGTGTGTTTGCCATTTCCTTTTTTTCACTTAACACATTATGGGTATCTCTGCAAGTTCTTATACATATAGATCTAAGTCATTATTTTTAATAATAGCATAATATTCTAAAAGTAGTAGCCCTTTTCCTATTGATGGACATTCAGCCTATTTCCATTTGTTTTCTTGTTTTAATCACTACAGCCAATGTTGCAATAAATGGTACTGTGCGTATAAATGTATACCGGTGCATTTATTTTTGTGGGATAAAATGGTAGGGATCACAAAGGATATGTGATGTGCACTATTAATTTTAACACTTTCCCAAAAGCTTGTCACAATTTAGGCTTCTGCCCCTTCCCCATATCCTTGCCTGCCCTGGATATTACCAATCTTTAAAATTTTTGCCAAACTGCAGATAAAAAATGGTATCTTTAACTGTTCTTCCTTTTGATCCCTTCCAATCTACTCTCACTCTGCAGTGATATTTTAGAAAAACAAGTCTTATCATGTCACCTCTCTGCTCAAAACACCTCATTTATTTCCCATAATTCTTAGAATAGTGGCCAACATTTTTAACATAACCAGAAAAACTCCTTGTGGTCTAATTGTATGCCTCTCTGGTGGGCTTTTCGCCCAACGGTTTCCTCCTGATAGTTCTCAACTCTACTGAGAAATCAAGATGACATATTAGTTTGTTTACCAGTACAAGCCTCATCGGGAGATACGCCTTTTAAAATGTGGCTAAATTATGCCTGAAAGGAATAATTATTTCTAGTTTATTTGCCTTGATGTAAATGCTTTTCCAGTTGCCTTGGCAGATAATTTAGAGTTAACAGGAAGTGTAGGACTTGTCAAAAAAAAAAAACAAAACAAAAAAAAGAAAAAAAAACATTTTAGGGCGACACCTTGGCTCCCAAGGAATAAGCCAAAAGTCTGATCATATACATACGGTGTTTTTTTTTTTTTGCTTCTCTTGTTTTTAAGTTGGTCTTTTAAAGTAGAAGTTGCCTTTAATGTGCTGGTTTGCAGAACAGGAAATCTGATTTTCAGTGTGATAACACATTCTTTGACATTAACCAGTACAGTTGGATTTTTAATGACACTTTCATCTTCAAAGTCCTTCACCAACATGGTGGATTAATTATTCATTTTTTGGTTGTGTGTTAAAAAGACAAGTCTTCAAAGCCATCATCATTTCCCCTTGGAACTGGGGCTCTCCACCTTTCAAATGTTGCTTTCTTACCCCCAAGGGAGAAAATTAATTACATCTTTTTTTTAAGACAAAAAGAATACAATAGAAATATACTCTTCACACTACGGAAAGATGATGTCCTTATATCCTGGGTGGGATTAGAAGTGGTCTGGAAGCAGTGTTTAAACTGTGTTTACAGTAAGCACTGTGAGAAATTACTCTGGCTGAAAGTGTTTGTTACTGCTCAGTCTTTGATGTGCTCTTAAAAAGTAGCACAAATACATCACGCGCCCTGCATTCAACATAATAATATGCAGATCCTTATATTCGTTGCTTAAGTATACTTTTTTTCCTGTTCCTTTCAAAAACTGTCTACTTGGGTTTTAAAAAGGTTTGGTTTTGGAGAAGAAAACCCTCAAGCCTTCCCTAGGGTCTTCCTTGACACATTTTATAACCACAAGGGAGCAGTCTTCCCTTTGATGAGGTCTTCTCTCCACCTCCCCAGAAATGAAAGAGCAAGTGTAAGTTTGCAAACAGTCTAAAAGCTCTTTCCATTAGCCTGGACGCCGGAAACCACAAAGGGCAGTCAAGTCTTGATTTTCAAGGAGAAAGCCTCTGATAAACTTTCGCTCAGCCGCCAGGAGATCTGCTGGTTCCTGGGAGGAGCTCTTCTGAAACCTTTAAGATTCTTATGCTCTTGAAGACCGAGAGCTGTGGATTATAGTAATTGAAAAGGTTTGGTGGTTTTGGAAGTTTACTCTGTTTTTGGTGTGCTCTCACGTTTCCAGGCTAGGGCACCGAGCAGAGAAACCCCTTTTGTTATCTTTTGAAATAAGAATATCAGAAGGGAAGACAGGTTTGAACTGTGGATTGGGGTTGGGGGTCCTAAATCTTTGCCTATCATCTCCGCCTAGATCTTTATAAAGAGATCGAAGAGAGCAATGAAGTTAGGAAATCATGCAACGTTTCCTTGAAGCCTGTTCTGGAACCTAGCTTCCGGGCTCAGAAACTTCTCCAAAAACAGACCAGCTGCGTCGGGCAGTCTGAATGGACCAGCATCTTTGCTTTGAAGATTTTCAGTCTCATCTGCTGAGAGAGCCATCTCTGGAAAGATCTGTTTGCTTTTTGGCAAGTGATGGAGAAACGTAAACAGGCCGGACTACTGACCTTGCCGTACCACCTGCGCCCAGTGCCCCTGGCCGTGCCGGGGTCCCTGCCCCGCCTCCCTCTGCGGGACCCGTTCAGGATCTCCTTGCGCCTGGACACCGCGTGCTGGGAGAGGGCGCCCGATGGCTGCGCTCCAAGACGGCCCTACCTGCCTCTGTCTCTGGACGGTGCCTTCGAGCCCGCCTTTCTCCGCAAGCGCAACGAGCGCGAGCGGCAACGGGTGCGCTGCGTTAACGAGGGGTACGCGCGCCTCCGAGAGCACCTGCCCCGAGAGTTGGCCACCAAGCGCCTCAGCAAAGTGGAGACGCTCCGCGCCGCCATCGGCTACATCAAGCATCTCCAGGAGCTGCTGGAGCGCCACGCGCGGGGGCAGGAGGGCGCCAGTCCGCCGTGCAGGGCCGAATGCAACAGCGACGGCGAGTCCAAGGCCTCGTCGGCGCCCTCGCCCAGCAGCGAGCCCGAGGAGGCGACCAGCTAGTGAGCGCCCGGCCCGGCCCGGCCCGCCCCCTCGCTGCGCCGCGCGCCTTTTCGGTCGGGTCTAAGGTTCTCTCCGGAGGTGGTTTACATTTATAATCTGGTTTTTTTTTCCTGCAGAACTAAATCTTGAGAAAAAGAAATGAGTGCCTTAGAGGGGAAAAAAAGATTTTGACATTCTGGTTGTTTCCACCTCCCACCTCACCCCCCTTACTGGTTATGTGCCTGTGACTTAAAGGCGCTTATTAAAGAGAAACTTCCTGTACTTCTCAAATACAAACTGTACCAGATTCTGAACGCCTCAAAGGGTGAAAACAACAGGAATTTGCCACAGTCAGCGGGGTGGGTAAATTAAGGACGTAAATACTAAAATAAATACAACCTTAAACAAAGAAGAATTACCCAAACTAAATAAACGACAGCCCTTAAAATGAGAGGAACGTTTTCCTGCATCCTTCCTTTGGGAATTGAGGAATTTGATAGACACCGTGCTTTGGATGAAGGTAACTCCAAGCTGACACTTGAGAACACATTTGCCAGAGCGCGTTGCTGGACCAGCCTGTGTTGCTGAGTGTGGGAATCGCAGTGCTAAAGAAGACAGTTCATATTTGAAAGATCCTTGTTTATCAAAAAGTGGTCATTTGGAAACTTCATAGCATTTGGCAGATAATAACATGTTAGTGTCAGTGAACTTTTTTGGAAGAAAACTCAAGATTTGTACGAAAACTTATTCTTCTGAGTTCTGTCCATTGTTTTTTTCATTTTTCTTTTCTTTGCATACCCCCTTGTTCTCACTTCATGTAACATTTTGTTTAATGTGACCTTAAAAAAGAAAAAACAAAAAGGAAATGCTTGGATGGTCGAATGGGAGGGATTGAGGTTGGTACATTCTCAAACTTTTATCACCTTGAGGCCTTCCAGGTATACTGAACTTATCTAATGACTTTGGTAGTTTGTTTTTTTTTTAAAATACTTAATTCTGATCATTTTTTTTCCCTGAGAAACAATTATAAATTCAGTAGGTAAGTCAAATGCTTGTTGACATGTGAAGATAAGCTTCCTCTCTCTAAAGTTGTTTCCTAATGTGCTGAATTTCCCTTTCCACGGAGAGGCTTTGGTATGGGGTGAGAGGGTGTGGGGGTGCTGGGAAAAGGACAAGGAGAGAAAAGTTACAATGGTGAGAGCCGGTTCCAGGTATTATTTCACTTAACCCCTACACTGAGGTAGGTTTTATTACTCCCCTTCTACAGATGTGTCAACCCAGGGAAGCTAATGAACATTTTTGATGTGCCAGAAATTTTGTTGTGTGCTTTACATATTTTGTCCTATTTAATTCTCATTAATCTGTGAGGAATTATACATATTTTGTGGCTAAAAACAAAATACAGAGACTCAGAAAGGTCCCTTGCCCAGGTTAGTGTTGCTAGGATTAGCTGAGCTGAAGTCCAGTCCTAAGTCAGCCTGACCCCAAAGCCCAGGCTGCTTTCTCCCTGACCATGCTCTCCCTTGCTCTGTCATTTGCTAGCTAGGTGACAGCAAATGCTACTTAAACTCTCTGCAACTCAGGTTCCTTGCTCTCGTCCATACTATTTCACAGAAGTGTAGTTGAAAGGCCTGGGTAATCTGCAAGATACAATCTGATGATTGTTTGTAGTGTTACTGTTTGGAAAAAGTACTGTTAAAATGTATTAACTGCCAATATTTATAATGATGAATACACTGGGGTTCTTTTGTTTCTGGATGCTCAGTTAAATGCTGCGCAATGAACGATTCACCACCAAACTACTTTTTCTTAAGAAGCAGGCGGAGCCTTGTGGTTTGAATAAGCAAGATGTAACAGCTATTTTCTCTTACTCATTAGGTAGTTACATCCTCACAAAACTCCATTTTGTTCTCCAAGCAGGTTGTTATTCCAAATGGGGGTTTCAGTGAAGCAAGTATAAGTGACATATGTTTACTAATTAGGAAAAAAAAATGGGGAAACACATTACCTTCCTGGCTGAGTTGGAGGAGAGGCTAAATGACCAAATTGTTAATTGGGGAATCTTGAGAGACTTTTTTTCAGGGGTCTTCAATAGGTGGTAGTAACACTCTCCATTCCTTTATTCTGCTCCAGCCAAAGGGCAGTAAACTTGACATTCTCTTTTCTGAAGCAGGAATAATAAGAATAAAAGAATATATTTTGTTTAGTCTATACAGACTATGTGGTTTCTTTTTAAAGCAGGAGAAAATGACCTTTTCTTCATTTACTTCTTTGAAATATGTGTATAAAATGTGTGAATAAATATAATGTACTCTGCTGACATGGGTAGTTTATAAAGAGAGGACAAAGGCATTTTTAAAAGAGAACTTTATTCTGGATAAAGTGCCTTGAGAGACTTTTAATGTGGTTTTGTTTAAAGCTCTATTGAGAATAAGGCAATGATTTTAAGAAATTTTTTGGAAAAAAATCAATAAAATCCCATCCCAATCATGTAATTTTTTTTTTTTAGAGAAAAAAAATCAAGCAGTTTTCCTGGAACTTTCCTGATGGTTTACAGGAGGAGCCCCATTCCAGGAAAGAGAACTTTTAAAATATTCAGGCTTCCCTTTTCCTGTGATTGAACACTTAATTAACCATAGAACAATCTGACTTAGAGAGGGACAAAATTAACTACCAAGAAGTTATGTAGAAGCAACGAAATGAGGAGAGTTTTATGGAAATAATGAATTCATTAACGGAGAAAGATTTACATGTCCTTCAAGATCTCTCCTGGTTTTTTGGACACTCAGCTCAGACATATCCATTGATTACACTGTATTGCTTTTAGAATATTCTTTGTGGTTCATGACAATGATTAATAACTCTGACACCCTACCTATACCCTGAGGGTATAAAGAAGGAGCTGTGGGAGAGTGTGCCCTACAGCTTGACCTGTCATCTACCTGGTGACCTTGGGTAAGTCCCTAACTTCAGTGACCTCAGTTCCCTAACCTAGGACATGTGACGATTAGATTGCATGATCTTTTAGGCCTTCCAGCTAGAAAATGTCATTCTTCTCACATGTGCAAAGTCCTCAACTAGAGGAAACAAATGTTGGTAAGGTCTGCCCACTTCCTGCCACACAGCGCAGCAGTGGCTCAATGCGTCTGTATCATTTTTTCCCACTAGAAAGGTCCAGTCCCAGAGTTGCAGCTTACTCTTTTTGAATCCTAGTTGCTATTACAATGCTTAATTTTTAAGAAAGGCAAGGTTCATAATTTTTTGAAGAATCTTAGTCTGAAGGGAAAATGGACCCATTTCACCTCAGTATGAGGACAAAAGGTGTGTTATAGCTGGGGTTCAAAATAAAAAATACTAGGAGGATATAGAGAAAAGAGGGACTTGTTCTAGCGTTAAGTGAGGAGGAGAGTAGGAGGAAAGGCTCTAGGGGATGCAGCATTGGGCAGGTAAAACTGGAATGGTCTGGCCACTTGAAGCAGCAGACCAACAGGGTATTGCAATCATTAAGAAAGAGGAAGTAAGGACTTCAACTAAGGCAGTGCCAGTGGGAATGGGAAGGAAGTAATGGACTGGGAGATGGTGTGGGAGTAGCACTGATATGTTCTGGACACTAGAGGATGGGGTTGGGGATAAGGAAGAGGGAGAAGTTAGAGACAACTCTAGTGAGTTCCCATCAACTGAAATCTGGAAGCAGAGAGAGAAGCTGATTCACCGGGTACAAGTCTTTCTGGAGATGCTTGCTTTAAAAATAGCAACAGGCTACTCCTGTCCATAAGCATTTGAAATGCTGACGGCACAGTCCGGAGGGAAGCCAAGGACAGCTGTAGATTGAGAGGCAGACACATGTAAGTAGTAGAGGCAGTAGGTGAGATCTCCCAGAGAATACTGATGACAACAAGAGAAGAGAGCTGGGGCAGGCCTACACTGAAGGAGTGGCAGAAGAAATGTCTTTGAAGAGGACTGAGAAGTTGGAAGAACCAGACTGGTGAGAAAGCACGGCAATTAAATGCAGATATCATTTTATAGAGAAGGGAGTGGTTAACAGCATTATGTGAATCAGAGATGTCAGCAGGGAGTTTAAGTGCGCTAAGGATCCATTGGATTTAACCATTAAAAGACCACTAGAGAGCTTTATAAGAGCATAAAAGGGATGAGATGAGAAAGCAGAGGATGAAGACTGCCCTTTCAAGATGCCTCACAGTGAATAGAGGAGAGATGGGATGATATAAAGGGACACCAGACTTAGAAGATGGGATATCAAAGGCAGTGCTGAGCCCGAGGTCTCATAGGTGAAGCAGCTCTAGTGGATGACAAGGCCTCAAGGAGTGTGAAGTCAAGTGGAGGTAAAGATCCTAGGAATTGGAGAGATTAAAGAACTGGGAGGGCAGCAGGTTGGAAGGTAACCAACTAAGACTGAGGTGGGTGTTTATGTCACTGAAAAAGATAGAGCAGGGTCTGCCATTTGCAGACAATGGCAATGAAAATGAAAAGAGGGTTGTATGAAAAGTACAACTGTGTTGGTTTAACAGTGTTCCTTAGATACCATCTGGTTTCAGAAGCATTCAGTTAACAGTTCTTAATGACTTGGGCAAAAAGTTGCACTAAGTCCTCTGTGATGACACAAAAATTTAAATGACATTCATATTTATTTCATATTTTATAGTTTCATGACTGTAAATAGCTCTCGAAGTTTGCCAGTGTTTATTATATGAGGTAATGATAATATACACAACACCCCTTGCCCAAGAGTCTGGCAGCAAATAACCTATTAAGCATCTATTTATTAATATCCTTTATTAAATACATCCATTTATTAATATCCTTTTTTCCCCTTGTGGTTTCTGGGGCTAAAAAAAAAATACTCTTCTCATATAGAATAGTTTTAACAGAGCAACCAGGATAAAGTAGATTTGCAGTAGGTTAAGAGCTGGAAAGAAAGAAGAAAACAGCATTTTATTTTCTTCCCTTTGTGGAATTTTTTCTAGAGACAGGAAGAGGAATAAAACAACCTAGGGAAATAGAACAAGGTTTGGAGGCGAGTAGAATTGAGATGCCCTTCCGTTATCTGGATCTGGAGAGATGGGGTCTGTTCCTCTGGCCTAACCATTTTTGACCTGCGGGTAACATAACGTTAACTCAGGACACTTGAACGTTAACTCCCATCCTCCTAACTCCAGGTGTTATTAAGCCTTAAGTGAATTTGAGAGCAAGATCTCATCAGGCTGCGGAAAGCATTTCACAGGATGAGTCAGCACTACCCAGATATAGCCAAGCCAACCGAGGGTCAGATGGTGTATTTCAAAAGGTTTCTGAGCTGTTTCTGTCTAGACAAAGGTTTTCTTCAAGCTCCCAAAGTTATCATTGTTTTCTCCCCAAATGGACAACAATCCTACCCTTTGCCCTGGGAATGACACTTCTGATGGAAATGTGGATAAGCAGAATCTTTTCTGCAGAGTGATCACTGAAAAGGCAGACTCTACCCCTTCTCGGCCCTCCTCTATCAGCCATCACCAGCCCTTTCATCTCCACGTCGGTGGACAGGCTGCTGGGAGAGGGCAGAGAGCCTAGAGTTACTTTATATTTTCCTTATTGGTCCATGAAACAACAGAACTATCCCCAGCTCTTTGATTATCATGGCTGAGTTGTGTATGTGTTCTACGCGCAGGCCCTCTCGGTGGTGAGATCGGTTTTTAATCCTTTCGTAGCTATTTAGCTGCATCCTTTGGTGAAAACGTGTCAGCGTCCTTTTCATGTTGGGTTACTCGCTGTCATTAATCATGGCTTAAATGAAACCGCAGATGTGGCAGAAGGAAGTGTGTCCAGACGATGAAACTCTCCAAACTGGTTTTTGCCTGTAGAGCAAACCTTGAGGGGACCACTCCTAAGACATTTCTCATTTCCCTAAGTGGAAACATCCCTGAAGAAGGAATCTTATCTTGGAGTCACAGGACAAGAAGGGGCCTTGGGAAATGACCTGGTTCAACCCCAGGGGTTTTAGTGAAATGAAGGATTAAACCATGCAGGGCAGAAGCATATCTTCTCATTTTAAAAGACCTCTAATGACAGAAATTCTCCACCGGCAGACATTTCCTGAGGGCCTATCAGCAGCAGGCTAGCCCTTATATGTATTATTCTCATCTGATCTTCACAAATATCCTATGAAGTATGTATTACATATCACTTCCTTTTTTTTTCACTTTCTTTTTTTTTTCCTTTTTCAAATGGAGGTACTGGGAATTGAACCAAGTACCTCGAGCATGCTCAGTATGCACTCTACCAATTACACTATACCTCCATCCCCTATATCACATCCATTTTAAAGATGAGGAACTGAAGCTTAGAGAGGTTAAGTAATGTATCATACAGGCAAGGGAGAAGTCAGAAAGGTTCTAAACACAGAAGCTTCTGTTGTTGCGGAGTTTGGAGAGTGCCACCCTGTCAGCACATGGATGCTCACCAACCTGGAAGCTCTCTGAACCCCTTTCGGGTTTTTATGGAGGTGTCATTACATAGCCCTAATTGATTAAAAAATTGGTCATCGGTGACTGAAGTCAATTTCCAGCCCCTCTCCTTTCCCTGGAGGTCCAGGGGTGGGGCTGAAAGTTCCAACCCTCTAATCACTGGTTGGCTCCCCTGGCAACAAGGGACCCCTCCTTAGGGGCTTTCCAAAAATCACCTCACTAATATAAACTCTGATGTGGCTGAAAGAGGCTTGTTATGAATAATGAGGCACCTTTATCGCTCTCATCACTTAGGAAATTCCAAGCATTTAGGAGCTCTGTGCCAGAAGCCAGGGGTGAAGACCAAATTTATACCTGTTATTATAAATCACAATACCACACAAGGACACTATCCTGCACA